TAATGTGGGAAAAGCTCCTGAAATATAATATAATCAACAAATGGTAGCTCTTGAGCAGGGGAGAGAGCCAGACAAGATACCCCCATCAAGTGAAAGAGTCCAGTTCCCTGGGGCACCTGGGTGACTCAGTGGTTAAGCATCTGCCTTGGGCTCAGGTCATGATCCCAGGGTCCTGAGATAGAGCCCCACATGGGTCTCCCTGCTTTGTGGGAAGCCTGCTTCTCCCTCTCCCACTCCTTCTGCTTGTATTCCCTCCCTCCCTGTCTCTGTCTCTCTGTCAAATAAATAAATAAAATCTTAAAAAAAAAAGTCCAGTCCCCAAACCAGCAAGTTCCTGGGTTCTACTCTCTGCCCATTACCTGTAGCTAGTTAATACTAAACAAATTATTTAAATACTAAGTCTTCCTATCTAAAAGGGAAATAATAACGCTATAAAAGTTGTGTGAAAAGTAACTTAAATACTGTATGTAAAGCACTTTTTTAATAGTACCTGGCACATAGTAAGTACTCAATAAATGGTTCTATTATTGTATATTATAAGCCTATAATGTCACTATAGTTCTGTAGGCACTTGGGAACATATAAAGGAAACTTAGAGGGCAACTTAAGATACTTTAAGATCTTTTAAGGAAGGTAAGACCTTGAGATAAGTAAAAGTTTCCATAGTATAGAATATAGTGGTTTCCATAATAGGGGTCCACAGGTGCCTGAGAGTTGAGTTAAAGTTTAGAGAAACTGTGTTTGCAGGATCAAGTAGTGCTACATGGTGGCCATGGCTGCTTCTCAGCTGAGCTTGAGGGTGGACAGCAGATCTATAGGCAGAGATTGGAGCTGTTAGAGGAGAGAATTTTTGCAAGAGGAAGCAGAATATGCAATGAAGGTCATGAAAGTGAAAAAGCACAGATTATATGTAAGTTTTGGTGACAAGGATGACGTTTTTTATGTTGAATTTGTGGTAATAGCAAGACATGCACGTTGAAACTCCAGAGTTGAGAGCATGATCAGGGATAGGGGGAGCGCCTGGCTGGCTCAGTCGGAGGAGTGCACGACTCTTGATCTCTCGGGGTCATGAGTTCGAGCCCCACATTGGGTGTAGAGATTACTTAAATAAAACTTAAAAAAAAAAAAAAAGATTTGGGAGCATGGGTGTGACATGGGGGAAATTTGAGCTAGAGACCTAAATGAGGAAATAGTCTATATGAGGTCACGGATGTGGGTGAAAATGACTGTGGAGTATGTCAAGAGAAGAACAGAAGGGCAAGGATGGCTCCTCCAGGATGGCCATTTATCTAGGATGTGGCAAAAAAATGGAGGAGCAACTCACATAGTGAGTGAACCAGGAGGTAGTGATGCTGAGGTGAAGGAAAAAGGGTGGTCAGGAGCCCCACACACATGCCATAAGCAAGAGCTTTCCATACATATAGTCGATTTTATAAACTGCAGTCATGTTTTTATACTATTGAGATGTTTCAGGATACTAAAGAGCACTTTGCTTAGTACTAGGCACTATGGTAGCGGAAAATAGATTATAGCTTTCTAAAGTACTTTCTAAAGTGCCTTCATCTGCAGGATACATTTTCTATCCTATGGGAAGGGTCGAGTATAATAAATGGTTTATCTGACAGGATAGAGGTTGCCTGGAGCACCATGTAGGGAAGGAATCTGAGGAATGCTCTGGCTCAGTGGGAAAGAACACTGGGATCTATTAGCAATATCTCCACTGGAAGAGGTAGGGAATACTGTGTCTGAGTTGGTTTTCCCTTGACTAAATGCTGTCTAAGGTATTGTGAAAACTGAATATCTATGGTTTTCAGAACCCCATTTATCATACACATCAACTAAAAAAAAAAAAAAAGGCAAATGACTCTTCATGATTTTGCAGCCCAGTTTTCCAGTGTAAAATGAAGGTGGATTTTGGGCTTTCTAGGGTGAATAAATGAAATGAAGAAAAAAAAAATTACATGCATTCAGCACCTAATATATAAAGGAGAATGACTGCATCCCTCCAACTCAGCTTTTAACTACCTAGTGAAAATGTGAAGTGTATGTGTGTGTGTCTCTGTGTGTATTCAGTTGTTCGGGACTTTAGATAAGTGCTCTAATGGGAGGACAGTGGGACTATGTAAAGGGAATTGAAATTGATTGCTTTTTACTGCAAGAGGAGAAAATGTTATTTAAATTTTTCCAGTCAAGAACATTGATTATAGAAAGCCACAGGCGGGGAACATAAGGAGCGAATGCGGAGTTGAATTATTCGCTGAGGGGTATTTATGGTAACCACATTAATAAAGTTTTAGATGAGACTCTCCACTGTTCTATGTAAGTAACTGATGCAGAGAAACTTCTATTTTATAAGTACTCTCTTACCGAAGAAATTTGCTGTCTTTTAATGACTCACTAGGATAACTGTATTTATTTTTTAATAGCCCCAATACAGAATAGATTGATTCATTTTATTTTTTCTTAATTAAAACATTTTTTAAAATTTTTAAAGATTTTATTTATTTATTTATTTATTTGAGAGAGAGAACACAAGTGAGAGAGCACAAGCAGGGGGAGCAGCCGAGGGAGAGGGAGAAGCAAACTCCCCGCTGAGCAGGTACAGGGCTCTATCTCAGATCATGACCTGAACCGAAGACAGCCACCCAACCAACAGAGCCACCCAGGTGCCCCTAAAACATTTTTTATTGAAATATAGTTGACAGGCAATGTGACATTAGTTTTAGGCGTACCACACAGTGATTTGATGACTTCATTCATTGTGCTGTGCTCACCACAAGGGTAGCCTCCATCTGTCATCATACAAAGCTATTATAGTACCACTGACTATTCCCTATGCTGTGCCTTTCATCCCTAAAATTCACTGTTCTCAGTCTTGAAAAGGTTGCACATAAACACCCTTGGAAAATGCCATTGTAATTTAAATACCTACTAGAATTAATTTTTAAATGATCTGCTTTGCAGAATTCTAGAGCTCTATACTTCTGTATTTCTTCTAACATATTTACTGTGTTGTAAGACTTTATACCAATCATTTCATCTCTGTGTCAAAATATCGACCACTTGAAGGCAAGGGCTCTATTTTATCACCAAACCATTGATATCACTTGTGTGTGGTGCCTAACCGCTCTCTAGTCTTCTCTGACTTTTCCTCATGTCCCCTGATATTTTCAACCCCTCCGACAAAAGTGTAAAACATGGTACCCACCCTTAAAAAACTTCAAATCCAGTTGCTGAGAGAATAGCCACCAGAAATAGATAATGAACTGGGGAGATTACCAAAAACTTAGAGAATAGGCCCAAAGTAATTATTATCTTAAAATCTTAATTATATTTTCATCCTTTTTTGATGAGAGCCATTCTCAGTGATAAGCAAAGACTTATCTTTGAGATGGGACAACACGTAAAAACTCTACTACCTCTATTTTCCCTGCATACTTAGTATCTCTTGTCCCTGTATCTTTGTTCCGTTTTCTTTCTGATAAGGGCCTCTTGCACCGACTCCTGGTATTCATTTGTCAAACCTCTTTTTTTCAAATCTCACCTTAATGTCATCTTCAACCAGATTTTCCCCTTTGAATCCCTTTCCCTCTGCCCCACCCCCACACCACTCACATACACTCTCACTCTCTCAAATAAATAAATAATATCTTAAAAAAAAAGAAATGAAAAGTTCTGAGGATCTAATATATGGCATGGTGATTATAGCTAATAATACTGTGTTATATACTTGAAAGTTGCTAAGAGAGTAGAACAAAAATGTTCTCACACAAAAAAGAAATGGTAATTACGTGAGCTAATGGAGATGTTAGCTAAGGCTCTGGTGGTAATCATTTTGCAATATGTAAGTATCGAATCAACACATTGCACACCTTAAATTTACACAATGTTATATGTCAATTGTATCTCAGTAAAGCTGGAAAAAAAAGGAGGGGAGGAAGAAAGACAATGATCCCAGCATAGATACCAAAAAAAGTGAGGACCAAAGAATATCATTATATTGATGGGAAGAAAAAATGAGACTGAAATTGGACGGTGGGGGAAGGTGGGGAACCTGCTTTAGATAAAGAAGAAGGGCCTCCTTGAGGGAGTTGGGAATAAGCAAAGACTAAAATATGATAGGGAGTTAGCCAGGAACAAGGTAGGGGCAAGGGACATTACCAGGTGGAGACTGGGATGAGACAGAGCTTAGAGTGTGGTGCTTTGGAGAAACTGAAGTTCGGTGTGGCTGGAGTGAGCAAGGTTGAGCTGGAGGCAGAGGCAAGGATCAGATAATGTGGGCATTTGTAGGCCTTTAGGAGTTTGGGTCGCACTAGACTTGACAGAGAGGGTGTGATTTTCAGCTGGGCTTAATAAACCTATGTTAAATGTAGGGGAGTAGGGATTTGAGATGGAAGAGCATAGCCATGGGATTGTGTCTAAGAGTGGTGTCCAGGAAGGCAAGAAACAGTGTGAAATGGAGGAGCCGCACTGGTGCAGACGAAAGACTTTAGGAGGGTGTCATGCAATAGCACAGCGGGTGCCTTACAGTAACCAGCTCAAACGGGATTTTCTCATAGCAGACAAAAAGTCAAGCTGACGTGGTGACCTTTTGGAATAGATGGTTTCTTTTCTGAGAAGTTGAACCTTTTCTGGGGCTATTTATGCTGAGTGAGCTCTCTGACCTTTGGGCAGGGTGCATAAATGCTATCCCTCACCAACATTCAACTCTTTCCTTTCATGTCAGCAGAAAGAAATAAATCATTTATGTTAGTTTTGGTAATTGAAGAAGCTTTTCATTTCCAATTTACCCCCGTGTGTGTGACTAACTCAAGTTGATAGTCATTATTAACCATGTACAGCTTTTTAGTGGATGTGGATGGACCATGAGTTGGAAAACATTGCATTTCTGTAGAAATTGATGCAAAGGCCTTGAATTTAAGCTTTCTAGTCTAAACATGAAACCTGAGAGTTAACATTGTATTACATTTTCAGTAATGACTGTGTCCTTTTTCTTCCAGGCTTCCTTCAGGATTTTAATCATCCTTACAGCCTCTTTGAAAATGATTGAACTTTCAAATTCCCTTAAGTTAAAATTTTAAATTCTACTGAACATTTTTGTAGAGTATTTCATTACTTTTACATTATGACTTGCTCAGTAATTTGAGATCATAAGGGTTGAAAAAGCTCTTGAGACAAGATTTTATGGTTAATTTAAAAACTTTTTAAAAACTTCTGAATAATCTCCTTCCTAGCTAGTTTTACAATATTAATGTTCTTTCTTTTGGAACATAATGTGGTATAAATATAGAATGTTCAAGCATCCAACATGTAAATTTAAATATGGCATAGGGATTGAAGGCTACACTCAAGATTATGTATGACGTTGTTTTCTTATCAGTGTTACCAGTCAGTAACACTCGAATTCTAATTTCGTTCAAATTTATTGTGACCAAAAAAAAAAAAAACCCTGCCTCCCTATTTAAAATCTTCCCTAGAATAGCAAATCTGAGATAATGATGGATATCATTAGTATCTGTGCTGATGACACTTTGGGTGGTTTAACCAAAACACATTTTTAACACTATAGATACTTTAAAATAAAGAGGTGAAGACTCTTAACAATTTAAGAAAAATACTAGAGGATTTTTAGAGCAAAATGTTGCCGGGCTTCTTTCAATACCAGGTAGTTTCCTCATTAAAATTCAGTAATGTTTTGATCAGCCTCATTCCTTGGTTGTAAACACAGTGCTGGTTCTAAGATAGTGAGCAGACAGATGGGGCCCAGGAAGTTCAAGTTTTATTAAACTTGTTACAGACTGAAGCTTTATTCTCATAATTCTAGGTAAAGGTGTAGAAAAATTTTGAAGAATAACAGGAGTACTTGTTTTCCTGTTTGTAAGATTACCATTTGCCAGGTTTAAATATATCTTTTTAATTAGAAAGATTCATATCTCCAAAAGCATACTAACTTTCAGAATGTTAAAAATATATCCATTTTGTGTTAATTCTCTACATATTGCTGTTTCTAAAAACTACAAAATCTCATTAATTGATGTCTTTGGAGGAGTTTCATCTTTTTCTCCTTTTACCATAATAAATTTCGGTTTCATTTCTCAGTTCAAAACAATTCAGTATGGACTATTGTTTTCTGTAGTGTGTCATGTCACCACTGATAAATTATGAAAAAAAAAATCATCCTTCAATCACACAACTTGAGTATGGCTCTTGATTTATAACCACCTGAAAAAAGACTTCTACAAATAAACACCAAAGGAAATAAAAAATATTAAGCCATGTTTTATTTATTTTATTGTAATTATAGTAGAATTTTCAATTTCATTAATGGCCCTAATAATTCATTCTAAAATCTACTATAATTCTGTATTTTAAAAGATTACTTACTGACTTTTTTCTGCTTTTTCCTTACTCACTTATTTTATATAATCAGGTTGAATAATTATCAACATATCACAAAATACTATATTTAAAGAATTAGTGATTTTGGATTTGCTTGGTGTTAAATTATGAATGACCTTGTTCTCTTGTGCTCTGTTTGACTTTTTTCTTTCATCACCTATCAGGGAATCTAAAAAAGTAAAGTGCAAAACAGCTGGCTGTCTTGGAAGAATAACAATTTGAGTTGAGAGTAAGTTGATAGGGTAGTAATAAGGTCTGGTGATAGGTTTCCCAGGAGATGTCTTATGCAAAAATGATAGAGGGCTGCCCATCACTGCCCACAGATGCTGACATTCTTGACTTTAATAGGGAAGCATTTATCTCTGGCACCTGCTCCAGTATCTGAGTAGCTGTCATGTACTCCAACAAAAGAGAGGAAAAATTGTCACTATCATTTAAGAAATATGCCTTGGCATAAGAAAAAGCAAAATATTTTGAGCACTTATAATTTATTTTTCTTACTCTCTTATGCCTGGCTTCTACAGTGAATTGTTTAAGTTATACTTAATAGTATTAGAATTTTCCTATTGAGTTCATTAGTATGACTTCATCAGTGTAGGAAGCTCTTTGAATTATTAAAAAGACCCTGTGTGTGTGCTATAGGAGTAAAATGTTTTGCATTTATGATGACCGAATTTTCAGCAGTACCTAACAAATGGAACACCTAGATAAAATGAAAATGCAGTCTTTACAAGTATATCAGTAAGACATAAAAATTTAAAGTAGATGAAGGTAAAACTTATCCCAAACACTTCAGTAATTAAAACAATCTAGCAAATCATAGAATAAATGCATATTGAAATTGATTATTGAAAAAATGAGGGATTCTTAAAGATTTTTAATCCTGACAGGTTGACTATGGAGCCAGAGCCTTTAAATATGTTCAAAATATTGAAGTGCTATTGCTTTTTCTTTTACAGCTTTTTTATTCCTATTACTGCTTTCTGGATAAAATTATGAAGGAAGTTGGGGCGCCTGGGTGGCTCAGTGGGTTAAGCTGCTGCCTTCAGCTCAGGTCATGATCTCAGAGTCCTGGGATCGAGTCCCGCATCGGGCTCTCTGCTCAGCAGGGAGCCTGCTTCCTCCTCTCTCTCCGCCTGCCTCTCTGCCTGCTTGTGATCGCTCTCTGTCAAATAAATAAATAAAATCTTTAAAAAAAAAATTATGAAGGAAGTCTGTCAGATGTCTTTTACATTTATATTTTCTCAGCAGGTATGCCCTCCCATGGCATTTTACACACTAGCTTTTCTGCTGCTGCTGTCTTTCAGTCCTAACTCTTCTTTTAAAAATACGCAAGAGATTCTAAGATTATATATATATACATATGCATGCATAGTGTGTATCATGTATAAAGCATAACAAAAATTTAATTTGACTGATTTTTTTTACTCATTTTTTTTAACAAACACTAAAATTAAGTACCAAAATTAATTCTCTCCCATAAGAGTACTTACCATTAGAAATTATTCACTTATTTCAGTGCTGCTGATATTACTTAAAAAGTCTTTGGACCTCTTCCTTTGAAATGTCCTTAAAAACCTGCAAAACATTTAAAATACATCTTTAGTAGTGGCAGGTCATCATTCTTTGAGGAAGGCTGAGAATGGGAACAAAGAATTTGTTTTTGAAAAGGCAGAAAGGCATTCAGAGCCATATGTGCCGAACAGGTAACTGATTGTTGCAGATAACCCATTTTTGGTCAAAGTCAGGTTTAGACTATAAAGAACTTGTGTGCACAGGAAAAGAAAAAATGTAAAAGCAGGGAGGAAAAGGGGGGCCCGAACTTAACTATGATAGCCATTTGTAAAGAAAAATCCAAAATGGTTTTAGCAATTGAAAAAAAGCTTTGCTTTGTCCGTGGTGACTACTTTGGAAGAATGCAGCATTTGGAAGTATTGGCAGCCCACGAAGCACTGAGGTCTTAAATGACTTTCATTTATAATTCTGAGCTCATTATATCCACATTGGGATTTAAAGTGAAAAGCATATAAATTAAAATGGACTTTGATTAATTCTTCCTAAGGCTCTTCCACCCATCTGGCATTAGTCTGGCCAAAAACCTTACTCTCTTTTATGTACCATCCTATGTGATTCTTACTGAGAAGACATCTTCTTAGCCTTGTTGAGTTTCAGAAACCTTGACTTGCGTAGGTAATGCTGAGTCAAGATGGCTCTAGGAAATGTCAGCTTTGGACAAAAGGAGTGAAGCAAATTTTAGAAAAGAGGAAAAAGTGCCTAGATTCAGAGAGAGTTGCCACTCTAACCAGAACTTTGGGTGTTTTTCAACTTAGGAAGCTACAATTTGAAGAAGGATAAAAAAAAGATCAATTTAGTGGCACCTGGGTGGCCCAGTCAGTTAAGCCTGGGATTCTTGGTTTCTGCTCAGGTTGCGATCTCAGGGTCATGAAATTGAGCCCCCTTTGGGCTTGAAATTCTCTCCCTCTCTATCCTCCTCTGCCCCACCCCTAGTGTGTGTGCACGCACTCTCTCTCTCTAAAGATAAATAAAAGAAAATATTTTAAAAAGAAGATCAGCTTAATACCAGTTGCCATCTGAAATTTCATATAATTATCCAAACGTCCTTGTCTTACCTCATGAGATTGTATGTTATGCTTGGAAGAAGAGACCAAGTTTTAGACTTGGACACCTAGTCTGACCCTAAATTATTTGTGATCTTGACAGATTTCTTCAAGGAAAGGGTGGTTTTCTCATTTTCTAATGAATCCTTTGAGACAGACAGGTTCTAGTGCCCCAATTGTCTGGATAAAGAATTTGAAAAATAAGCTCGCCACAGTAGAATGAAATGCCCAAAATCATTTGGCTTTAAGAAATGGAGCTAAGCTTGAAAAGGCATAGCTTTTGTCTCACAGGAAGCTGCTTCTTTGGGGCACCTGGGTGATTAATCATTTAAATGTCAGACTCTTAATTTTGGCTCAGGTCATGATCTTGGGGTTGTGAGATAAAGCCTGTTGGGCTCTGAACTCAACAGGGAGTCTGCTTGAGATTTCCTCCCTTCTCCCTTTGCCCCTCCTCTCTGTCTCTCTCAAAAATAAATAAATAAGTCATTTAAAAAAAAAAGAAAACCACTTCTCTCTGATGTTATATCTAAAAAAATTTCCTTTAAGTTTGTCTAAAATCACACAAGAAAGAGGTTATTGTGTTAGAAAAAACTTCCTGTCAATGAAAGTGAAAAATTCTGGAAGAAATGCTTTCTCAACTGTTCAAAGGTGAAAATCCATGCTTGGTTATAAAATTAAGGATAGGTTTACTTGTTATTACCCTTTTAGTGCTCACTTCGGCAGCACATATTCTAAAATTGTTATTACCCTTTTATTTGGTTCAAACACTTCCAGTGACTTCCAGCTCAAATGTCTTCTTGTTTCATCATTGTGAAATTCCCAAAGCAGATATTATTAAAGACAATCTTCTAGTTATCCAAAAATCAAATACTAAAGACATAAGAAATCAGGTTCTATATTTAGGAATGAATTTATGTTGAGTTTTTAATCCTAATAACATTTAAGGCCCTACTATGTACAAAGCATTATAGAATAATTTCAGAATAAATAAAGCATTCAGAATAATTTCAATAACAACACTGCAGGGGCACCTGGGTGGCTCAGTGGGTTAAAAGCCTCTGCCTTCAGCTCAGGTCATGATCCCAGAGTCCTGGAATCGAGCCCAGCATCGGGCTCTCTGCTCGGCGGGGAGCCTGCTTCCTCCTCTCTCTGACTGCATCTCTGCCTACTTGTGATCTCTGTCTGTCAAATAAAAAATAAATAAAATCTTAAAAAAAAAATAACAACACTGCATATGAAAATAGTACATAATGCCCTGGATATCATACACTCTAGATACAGATTCTAACTGAAAGGTTATTTTTATATAGTCTTGCATAAACTTACTGCTGTAGATGAAGATTATTTCATTTGAAAAGATAATTGCAACCAAAAAAAAAAAA